CTTCCCTTCTTCTTCTTAACGTTTATAAAATCATCAACTTTGTTTTTTTCAAAACCAATACTTGAAAGTTAATCTGTAGCTTAATGTACTGATTTAGAAGTGAAGAATAATTGGTAGACCCGGCCATTTTAGATGGACTACAGCTGAAAAAGGGTTGAACTAAGGACCGCTGATCCGCCTTCCTTAAAGGAGTGGTCTCTAAAAGAAGTTGCGAATCTTTCTATACTTAGGTTAAGGCTACCGCTGATAGTAACAGTGGTATTGATTGGCCTAGTGGTACTTATGCAGCCTAAGAAGCAAAAGACGAAGAGTGCAGACCTTGTTCATCATAACGTTTTGCGTTTTCAAAAATTATTTTTTTGCACCTGCAAATGGTATACATGCATGCTGCTTTATGCATGAATTCAACTATGTTGGTAAAACTAATTTTCCTCAAAGTTTTTAAGACTTGGTCCTAGTAGCATTTACTTAATACATCAAGCACGTTCGTGTAACCCATTTATAAATGCAAAAAATCTTGCTTACAAAAATGCAAACGTTTTGGCGGCAGAAAAACCTGAACCTTTCACCATCTTCTCCTTTTGTTAATTAGCATACTTGCCTTGAGTTGATCATTTAGCAACGTCCTTCTTCGATGTGATTTCACTACCTTTCAACAAGTTCACACACTTTTTCAGAGACCATTCCGCAGATGTAGATTGTGAATTACAGGTCTCTGTTTTAAACCTTTTTAGCAATAAAAAAACATTTCATGGCCAGGTCGACCAAGTATTATCCCCTTTTGATAGGTGTTTGGCACTAATGCACATTGTTATGACATTATGAAATAAGCTCACTTAATAAATTTTAACCCATGCTCGTATCTTACCAATCAACTTACAAATACCAGCGCTACCAGCGCCATATATGGTCTAGTGTAGGTTTAGGATTGCACTAAGTACAAAATTTAACAATGATCGGTCGAAAATTGTGAAAATTTTTGGAATTTCCATTTTCAGTACGTATTCCAGTTTGACGCGCTGCAAATTCTAGTTATTCGCTGAAATCTATGCAATCTTTTCCTAGTCTGCGTCTGCTCTTATGTAGTACGCTAATACTTAATGATTTACAGATAGCTTGAGAGGAGGAAAATTTCCGAGTTATAATGTTTACAATCTTAAGTGATTTATTTTTGTGAGGAATATTCAATAGAGATCGACTAGGTACAAATAAAGAGATAGATTTTGTAAAATAATGAATTAATAATTGTAATATAATTCATGAAGACATGCGCACCTGATGAGAGTAGTATGTGGCAGTGGTGGATGGAGCAGGCTCTTCAGATCGTCGGGGTTCTTCTGGTATATCGACTTCCGAAGCGACTACAGAGGATCGCCTAGAGGTTTCAGCTGAGCCAGCCATTGCTTTACGACGAGCAGCCAGTCGAGTGCGAAGTTGCTCATATGCTCGGGTGATAGCCATTTTCTCCTTGAAAATTCAAGTTCAAAATTCAATATGCTCTAGAAACCAAAAACGGAACCAATATAAATAACATTCTTAAAGAGGATTTCTCTCACCTGAAGAGATACATTCAATTGAGACTCCGACTTCTCCAGGCGGCTACGTAACTCATTTCGTTCGGCTGTGGTAGTTTCTAGTCGGCTAACCTAAAAAGAATTCAATGGCAATATGTTGGTCCTGAGTGTCTAACTCACAATATTCTTATATTCTTGAGAATCAATAGACGATGCTGTCGAGGTGCTGCAATGTAAAAAATTTTCTTAAGCAAATGGGAAGTTAAATGTCAAGTTCAAGAACAAAAGCTCGCCTCTGTTGGGAAATTTTTGCCTCGAGTGCTTTGCGTTCATTTTCAATGACTCGTAACCTTTCTTCGGTTTCCTGCTGTCGCTGCTTATGTTCAAAGTCGCTCCTTTTTACTTCCTCCACCTCTTGTTCTAGCGTATTTCTTTCTTTTTCTAAGACGTCCACAACTTTCTGCAGCCTTTCTGTTTCTT